CTAAATTGATCATCATCCTAACTCAAAAAATGTTAGTGGGGAATGTGAATGTAACAACAGTCAAGGTCTAAATATTAGCCATTTTTTCATCTACTAAGCAAGTAGAGACATCATTTTAGTGTCATATGATCAGTTTTTCACAGTGTTTTACCCTGCAATTTCCCTCATCCATCATGCCCTGCCCACTACAAGTGATTTATGATTGTAGATGGAGAAATTAAAAAAAATAAAATAAAATAAATTAAAAGTTTTGCACAGGCCACTGACCCACATCTGGGCCTGTGGAACGAAAATATTATAATAATAATAATAATAATATAGGCAGTCCCCAACTTACAATAGGGATACGTTCCTGGACCCTGATCTAAAGTCGATTTGTTCTTAAGTGAGAACAGTGTTAATTCCATAGTTAGGTTAGGTTAAAGCCAACCCTGCCCATACAAGACAACAATAATATCCCATACATAACAAATAATGTAAATACAGTACTGCAAATAAAGTAATGTTAAGCAATATAGAATAATGAAAATAATGTAAAAAATGGGATTTCAATTGCATGTTTTTGTGATGAATATGTTGGGATACCGGTTGTAACTCGGCGACTGCCTGTAATAAAAATTAATTAAAAAATAATAATACAGAACCACAAATACAGTGGTCCCTCGGTTAACGAACGGTTCGATTAACGAAATTTCGGTTAATGAATTACCTCCCATAAGGATCTTCAATTTGGTTAACGAACAAAACTTTGATTAACGAAATCCTTACGAACAACACGTCTTGTTGTGAGCATCAGCTGATGGGCTAGTCTGCCAATTCAGTAATCTGTTCTATGTTTACATACGTTTCCAGTGGAGTAAATATCAAGAAAGTTGTGCTCTTTAATATTTTTGCATTTTTTATATTAAAATTATAAGTCATTTTAAAATTTAGTTAACATATTGATAATATATGCAGTACAGGGAACTACTTTTTTGTGTGCCCATCAGCCGCTTGACTCAGCCACCAGGCGTCAGTGAGGCTTTGTTGACAGTGCAGTGAAGACCTACAGTATTTTGTTGGTGTCTTGAATATTTTTTGCATTTTTACATTGAAATTATTGGTCATTCTGAAATTTAGTTAACATATTGATAATTGTTACCGCAAGCGGTACATAATTATGATGACATAAACAAATGTTATGTTAGGCTGTAACTCACAATGTAGAGTGTTGAGATGGTTGAAGATGAGAGGCCCAGAAGGAGGTTGGAGGGTGTGAAGGGAGTTTGTTTATGTATAATTATAATCACCTGACTCCGCCATAGCTGACCAGCCAAGGGGCCAGGCTATAGGGTGGGCATTTCAGTATAGCTATCCATATCTTAGAGTCAACACCTACCCTGGCTTCTCTCTAGACTTTCAACACCTAAGTTTAACTATTACTTATTGTGTACACAGGTAGACTGTGTCATTGTTTTTGTGTTAAGATTAGACTAATTACATAGCCATGATTGTTATGTAAATATATATTGGATTAATCATTTATGTAAGAGTGCCTATGTATGACTTATTTGAAATACTAAATGAATTGTATTCAACAGGTTTGACCGAATTATAATGTTCGTGTACGACGTGAGAAGTATTATTCACCCTCTAACCGTCTGATTGGCGGTTACAATAATATATAGCGCAGTGCAGTGTTGATTTAAAGAAAATAACCTTGAATTACACCTAGTGAACTTAAAATTTTATTGGTGAAATGACGGCATCAATCCCCACTTCTAATTCCCATCATCATCAATCAGGAACCTTCTACATACACATCTCAACTCAAAGTAAGTGTACTTTACTGCATTTTTTTTAATACTTTGTATGTACTTTTCTGTGAGCTGGAACCAATTACCCAATATCCCTATGAAACAATGGATTCGGTTAACGAAATTTTCGGTTAACGAATGACTGTGGAACGAATTGTGTTCGTTAACCGAGGGACCACTGTACAAAAATAAAAAATTAAAGATCAAGGGTGAGAAGCGATGTACAGTATACTGTATATGTTGTGTTGTCAATAGTAAGAGAAACAATTGAGACCCTGCAATTGTGTGTAAATGAGGCAGAAAGTCAGATCAGCAACCTGGGACTAGGTTACAATTTTTGTGATGCCATATGGCAGCAGGGTCTACCATTAGACAACACATTATGCTTCCAATATTTTCCCAGGTGGTAGTACCTCCCTGTTTGGTAGCTGCCTATTATCTTCTCCCAAAGATACCTTTACCATGTCAAACTGCTAAAAACGTCAAAATGTTAAAAACATATCAGGTGTAAACAGTTAACCCAAGACAGCAGCCACTCCCAGTAGGATTACATGCTATAAGACAAGAGCTGACAGCTGAGGTACTAGTGTAATCTGTGTCAGAGGATCTAGAAGACACCGCAAGATAAATAGATATAGACAAGTGATCGCGGGCCCTTCGTGCCCGGTGAACGTTTGAACGCTCGTGCTTGGCTAGCGTACAGCAAATGAGGGTGCACCAAGTCCGTAGAATTGCATGGTTAATTAGGGTGCGCCAAGTCCGTAGACTTGCATCGGTTTCCATCGTAAATAAAATGGTTAATTAATGCCTTCCTAAAGAAACCATCGACATGGGACCAGGTTTGTTCCACTCTACGAATTTTTTTGTGATTTTCCACCAAGTTTGATGAAAAACGATTGTGCTGTTTTGGCTGCCCAGAAGAGAGACAGACAGCTAGTCCTATAGTATATTAGATATTAATAGAATAAACGCAATGGATATTTGTCCGGTTGTCAGGTAGGTAGATTTATGTAGACTAACACCAGAAAGAGTTGATAGAATTGGATGGGGTAAATATTTAGAAGTTGTCTTATATAGGGAGAAAGAGAGAAAAATATAGATATATATTATAGGGTTTCTGTCCGAAATTTTAGTTTTTAAGTATTTTAACCGATAAAATCACCATCAATATTACTTGTTTAAAGTGGGCAGGGCATTGAAGTACAGGCAAATGTGGGATCAAATCCTAAAAAAAAAAGCACTCTAAGCTTTTGAAAACCTGACCTAACATTTCTTAATCTTTAAAAATCTTAAAACTATAAAAAATTTACCTTATTCATGTTTTTGATGTTTAGTATGTGATGTTGTTTTCGATTTTAGTACGTGTTGGTGTTGTTATCAGTGCTCAGATGAGGAGGGATCCATAAACTCCATTGTGATTCTTCACATTTGTACAAGTTAGGAAATGTAAGGGTCAGGTTTTCAAAGGTTTGTTAGGGTTATTTTTAGTATTTTACCCCACATTTTCCCACTACAGGCACTTCAATGCCCTGGGTAAATTTATTGGTTAAAATACTCGAAATATAAATTTCCGATGGAAATGTTATTGAATAATTTTTTCTTTCTCCCTATATAAGAGTCAATATATTAGTAGGTGTTGGCAACATCTAAATATTAACCTTGGCGAAAACTTTTTGGAAATGTTAAGTACAATCTATTAAATAGATAAGCCAGTGGATATTTTGCCAGAACCGGCTAAGTTCCTTCTAACGTTATTTTCCTGTGAGTGGGCTCTGATTGGCTGATCATCCATTACCGGCGAACAACACAAGAACTATATTTAACCGTGACTCTGACGGCATTTGGCATTTATGTCGCCGTGAGTCGATCGTAGTGTAGCTATAAACTCACCTAACCAGAAGTTGTTTGATTTTGTTCATTTGTCCACAGATGTTCTATCATTATAAAAGTGGCGACATTTATCAGAATCTAATAGAACCTGACCTATCCAACTAAAGAAACCTACCTAACCATACCTTTGTAGATGGGGGGGGTCAGACCCCCCCCGTCATATTAAACAGGAAGTACTTAACCAATCAGAGCATACTCATGGTAAACTAGCGGGTTAACGTATAGATTAATGCTGCCAACGATTCTAGCAAGAACACATTGCTTTTTCACCATAATTTTTGTTGTTAATTGCTAGTGACAGTGTTCTCTTTAAGGGAAGTGGTTTTTTTATAATTTATACCATAATACTGTTGGCGAGCCATGGGAAGGGGAGTGTGTAGTGCACAGGCCATCTGAATCGCATTACCATGCGATATAATACATGACCAACTCTGAAAAAATTGCTTTTCCCCAATAGAGGAATACATTACATTAGGTTATATAGGGATAAGCTAAATACTGACAACATTATAAAACGGGAGCCACGAATTACCCAAAAGTACCCAAAAGTATAGCAAATATGGGTAAAATCTTAATGAATATCTGTTGTACATACACAAAACATGTTAAATAATATTTTTAGTGTAATTTTGTAAAAATAATTTGTAAGACGAAATAATAAACAGCATAAAACTTTCAGTACTGGCGAACGCTAAATTCCAAAGAGTTCGTGAACAAGGGAGATAACTCAGATCATCGTGATGCACTTCGCTAACCTAACCTAACCTAACGAAAAGTAAATCCTACGGCTATGTTAAATACCCCCAAAGTATAAAAAACATCGGTAATTATATCTCCATTTTGGATAGGTGACTCTTTGGAATTTAGCGTTTTTCGCTGTTTATTATTTCATTATTTTGACATTTCAATGAAAACATTATTAATCAGGTTTTATTGATGTAAAACATATATTCGTTAGATTTTACCCTCATTTAATATACTTTTGGGTACTTTTGGGTTCATTTGGGTAATTTGTTGGACCGTTATATAACCACTGGGGCGAAGCTCCACTAGAGGGTTAGGTTAGGTTAAATAAGGAAAACATTAGTTTTGGCTTTTCCCCAGAAAAAAAAACGCGCCACAATAATAAAACGCAACAAAATTCACGCAGGAAAAAAATGTTTTTGCTGGCGAAATCGCTGCAGCACTTAAGTAAACGTTTACCAAATAGCGTTGGTAGGAAATTAGCCGGTCACGGCAAAATATCCACTACGTTAATAGACTGTAAATAACGTTTCCACAAATACAATGAAGGTAACAGTGCCATTATTTTACCGATTTATCACCCTCATGCCCTCCTCCACGTCATTGCCCCGCACCAGCACCGTCCTCGCCAGGAACTGCAAGTGTTTGTGGCCCAGACTCATGATGAAAATTGTACAATCTCTTTTTTTTTTCTCTATCTCTCTCCCTTTTCTTTTAAGATGAGGAAATCCTATAGTTCAAGCCACAGCAAGCAGATACTCCTGTGTTTACTATTACTAAGAAGAGATACTGAGGGATATTTAACAAAGACTATACGAAAGATAGGAAAGCAGACCTAAAATATTGTGATCATTGGGTCGTAAAAGTGGTGAGCCCAAACAATAGATGGCGACAGTGTGCAAAGACTATTCATTAACTGTACTGTCAAAATGGCACCAAGGAAGATCATACCCAATTTGCAAACCATTCATTCCCAAAGGATAAAGAGAGGTTGGAGCACAGTTTTGAATTACACACATATGATATGACAGGTTTATTTATCATTATATTTCCAAACAATTTGAAAACTCCCTGCAAGCAAAGTTGAATCTGATTTTTAAATATTATTTACAGGTGCTTGCAGTGGGTACAAGTACTGGGGTTTGAGAGACTTACAGGAAAGAGCCCATAAAATATAAGCAAAAACACCAGATTATGTAGCCATCATTTTTCCGAAGATAATTATACTGCAGGGAAGGCTTTGTAAAAATGCATGTCCAGATACTAACCTAGGTTTGTATTATACTGTAATATGTACAGTATGTCAAATATCAAATATTGCAAATAAATATGTTTTCATATGTGTATTGTAGCGTACTGTATGTGGCCAGTTGTCAAATTATCTTTGTTTGTCTATTTCTCTTTGAATGGGCTCACATACGTACGTACATGTAAGATATTGTGGGGTAATGGGTTGTTTGTTCTCTCTCAGGATGGGATGGAGAAAGGAAACTCACAATGTGCTCTCTGTATACATGTTGTATTGGATGTACAATGCAGCTTGGTGCTGGGAAGGCAGCATGGTTACAAGCGTTGGGTAGAGAGAACTGGTTGGTGAGGATGCTCAGAGGAGGACAGCTTGTGGGTCGCCATGCTCGCCGGCAGGAGCGAGGGCCGCCAGGCAGCGGCGGAGGAGGTGGTGCAGCTTGCTGCGGCTGTAGCTAGAAGAAGAGAGTTGGTTGGTGAGGATGCTCAGAGGAGGACCAGCCTGTGGGTCGCCATGCTCGCCGGCGGGAGCGAGGACCGCCAGGCAGGCGGAGGAGGAGGAGGTGTTGCTGGCTGGTTGGTGTAGGTAGAAAAGAGAGGGATCACCACGAGGTCAGGTCTTAAATAGCGGGGGGTAGGCGTGGCTTAGTAGTTGACCTCCGTGATGTATGGCGGCGCTGGTTGACCTAGACCACGAGGCATACACTGGGGAATTCACGGGGTCGGCTACGCAGCGACAAACTGCGTTTGTAGGGGAGAAATCCACTACAATATCTCACACTCAGGATGGAGGTAAGAATAGAAACTCACAATGCGTTTTCTGTATACATATTGTATGTACAGTGCAGTGCTAAGGAGTTGCAGTGTGGTGAGAAGCTTGCTCAGAGGTCCTGTTGGGTGAGAAGCTTGCTGAGGGAGCTGGTTGGTGAGGAGCTTGTTTGGAGGTCTTGCTGGTTCAGCAGAATAGAATAGAATGAGATTGTCGGACCGTAGTCCGACACGGGCCTTTGCCTGTAGGCGGCCCGTTTGGTGGTTCCGGCTGGAGCTCTTGGAGCAACCGGACCGGATTTGGGATTGGAGGTTGTCCTACCTGCAGATATGAAAGGATACTGCAGGTTGCAAGTGTGAGCGGACCCTCGGTCAGTGAACGCTTACCACCAACCCCCACTCTTGGACGTGGTCAGTTTCGGAGTGGCGCGCCCCCCCGAACCGGGGTCCGCACTTGCTGGGGGAGGATACTTCCTGGGCTATCTGGGTGGTGGGTATCGTGTGATGACCTGTAGAAGGTGGTGAATGTGGTCTGTATGGGCCTTTCGGGTTAGAGTGGCCGCTGGTGTTGTGTGTTCTTGGAAGTTTCGAATTTTGTTTCGGAGACTGTGTGACTTCGCAGTAGAGGAGATAGTGTTCCAGTGGGTTGGCCGCTGGCTCCTGACAGTAGGTGCATTCCCTGACGTCATTTCCGATCATCTGCCAGGAGCACTTGTACCCTAGTCGTAGTCGATGAAGGCTAACTTGGGTTTGTCTTGGTGTTTTCTTGTCCGCGAATAGTGGTTCCCCTTTTGTAGCCGCCAGGTACCATTTGGCTGATTGGGAACCAGCGTTGAATGCGTGAAGGAAGCTCTTTTGGATGTGGAGCTTGCTAGTCTTTCTGAGGTGATTCTTGATCTGTTGCACGCTTGCTGGAACTTGAATGTGTACGCTACTAGAGCGTGTGGCTGCCTTGGCTGCTTCGTCTACCACGTCGTTTCCCCCGATCCCTACATGACTGGGAATCCAGTGTAAGACGACTGGGCGGTTTTGTCTTTGGAATTCCTGTAGCTGTGCGAGGATCGAGGTTATAATGTGGATGTTGTCTCTTGGTTGACTGTGTTGCAGCGCCTTCATGGCCGATTTCGAGTCCGTGTGAATTATGATGGACTTGTTGTGTTGTGTTGCAGCGTGTTGTAGGGCCTTTGAGATTGCTACCAGCTCTGTTTGTAGAGTGGAGCAGTCATTAGAAAGTCTCCATCGGAGGGTCTGACCTTGGGTGTAGAAGGCAGCTCCGGATGTATGATGTTATGGATCCACCGAGCCGTCTGTGAAGCATGATGCTGCATCAGCCGGTGTCTCGGTGGCTATGGCTTCCAGAGTTATTTTTTTGAGGTCCTCCTTCTGGAGGTTGGCTTTACTATCGCCGAGGTCGGTAATTTTGAATGTGGCTGGTGGAGGGCTCCATGGTGGAGGAACTACGTAACCATTGTCTCGTGTGTCTTGGTTGTTCTTGACGAGTGTTTCTGCTTGCAGGTGTCGGATGACCTCGCTTGCCTCGTGCGACCAGGTGGCCCCTCGCACTCTGTGGTCGAGGTGGAGGGAGGCACTGATTCGAATTTTGGCAGCTGTGGGCTTATCTGATCTACAGATTTTGGCGAGGAGACCGGCTGTCACCTGCTTGACTCGTACTGCCAGGGGTGGTAGTTCAGTTTCCATTTGCAAATTGCAAATTCTGGTCAACATGGGTGCTCCGAGCATGGTCCTGAGAGCATTATTTTGGATGATTTCTAGCTTGGTTATTTGGTCTTCTCTCAGTCCAATGAGTGCTGGAGCACTGTAATCTACCAGCGATCTGATGGCGGCCGTGTAGTAGGCTTTGAGCACATGAAGGTTTGCTCCTGCGGTTGTGCTGGTGAGCGACCTCATTATATTGTGTCTGCTCTTCGTCCTGTGCCTGAGATACTCGAGTTGCGGCTTGAAAGTGAGTTTCTGGTCAAACCAGATTCCAAGACACTGGTGGGTGTTGGTCGAGACTACCGGCGTGTTTTGTATGGAGAGCATCTTGTCTGGTGTGTCTGTGCAGATGGCCATCGCTTTCGACTTGGCTGGATTTAGCTTGAGTCCAAGTCTGTTGCACTCCTCTTCTATAAGTTGGAGTGCGTGTTGCGTGTTGGCTAGTTTGTTTGATCCTCTTACTATAAGCTGTAAGTCGTCTGCATAGCATGGCGACATCGACTGGAGAAACGAGTCCACCCCGAATGACTTGAATAACCCTGCTACTCTTTCTTGTAGAAACTCTGAGAGATAATTTTCTGTTCCAACATGTTAGAGACCCGACACATTACAGAGGGGAGCAAACACCCAAGCCACTTGACCTCATCATAACAAACGAGGAGGGTATGGTGGCCATGTACTGTGCTCATCATTGTCATTCCTAAAAACCCACTTTAATTCATATTACGCTACATAACATTCAAATCCACCGCGCTTGTAGAATCTCAGGAGAGACGTGTTTTTCCCCTTTGTTTTAAACTCAGGATCACTCCTAGTAAGTCCCGCCTTCGAACACAGTTGTCACTACGTTTATTCCACTCTCTACTGGCAAACGCAATCTTGAATTAGTCTGTGTAAATCAATTTTAGTAATTCGCCAGACCTTTGTCAACTGAGGGTCATCCCTGAATGAGTAACAGTTAGATTTTGTGTAATTTCTGTCATTGCGTGAGTAGCGATCGCTGGCAACTCAGGGGTATATAAACCAGTGAGAGCGGGAGGAGCAAAAGGGGCGCATATGGAAGAAGCGGTACCGCTCTTGCCTCGCAAGCAAAATGTCACGGGTTCGATTCCCGGGCAAGCGGAAGTTGTTTGGACACTCTTCCTAGCCCCCTTGGTCCCTGTTCACCTAGCAGTAAAGTAGGTACCTGTTGTAAATCGAAAGGTTGCGAATTCGTATTCAGGGAAAGTTGTTGGAGCTTCTAAACTTGAACTGACACAATCCGGAGGAGTGGTGACCCGAGGATCACACACCCAACACAGACAAAACCCAATACGTGCGCTATGCGCTAACCAAATAAACGCAGTCGTGTAAAGCCACGGCACTATCTCTCCCACTATAATTCCCTTCCTAACCTCCTGCTCCTTCCTCTGTCATCTTCCCCGCTCTGCCTTTCGCTACCAACAACTTTTGGAGCTTCTAAACTTGAACCGGAGCAAACCTCACGTATCACCTTTCACCTTCGTTCTCAGGTATGTTCTGTGTTTATAACTATTCAGCTTGATTCAGTCTATTGTAGTGAATATCAGTGTTCATCAGTGTTCATGCTTTAACAGTGGAATTGTCATTCACCCAGTGTAAGAAGTAATATAACGTAAATATCTGACGTGGCGAGACGAAAGATTTGTTTGTGACCCACCATGCTTCCCCAGACACCCCCGTATAACCTTTCACCTTCGTTCTCAGATCGAGGGTGGGCTTAATGGAAACCCCACCGGTCGCTCGGAGCCGGTGGATATTCAGCAGTGACTAATATATGACTGATGGCGCCGATTCGGCATGAATAATCAGCTCCACTCTACATCGTGGAGTTAGACCCCAGATTCGCCACGTGTCTGGCTTTAACCGATCACCACAGCGATCGTCAGTGTTACAGGCGCCAGTGTGATACCCTGGGACATGCCTGGGAGTTATATGTCCACAGTGTTGTTGTATATGTTTGGAAACAATTATCCCCTGTTGGGTGTTGTGTGTGAAGTATCTTATGTAAGTTGTCATATCGATAATGAAATGTATCACCGT